TTATGAGAGGTTTTTGTGTATTCCAAAACAAATCAGATTTGAGTATAAGCATTTCATATATAATTCTACTCAGAAAGACCATATTAATACTGGTAGTAATTTAGTATTGGGGAATCAGAATCATCACAAATAGCAGTGGAAGTATTCTACTCAGAAAGACCATATTAATCTTGGTAGTATTTTAGTATTGGGGAATCAGAATCATCACAAATAGCAGTGGAAGTATTATTGGTATTAAATAATCTGCAATGACGCAAATACAGACAATAAGATTATAAAATTCTGGAGGCGAAGTTTTATTGTCAATAAAAATAAAGTTTCCTGTGTCTAGACTTGTGATCTGACATATTAAACCCGCAACATGATGGAGCATTTTTCTCTAGAAATCAAAGGCGCCAAGGCCATGATTACATTATAAAACAACAAACAATGTGTTTGCTGTACTGACAACCCTGCTTAGCGACCTAACTGAATGATTTTGCCGAGTAACAACAATATAAACATTAGAAACTCAAGATCTGTAATGAAAGCCATCAACAAGTCAATGAACCCAGATATTGTATCCAGTTTTAAACATTCTAAGGGCAAGGGCACAGCAGCAGAACACTAGAAGTAAGTCAGCATCTTTATTAAGTCATAATTATTTCATTGATTCAGAATTAAAAGTTATTCATTTCCCAAATGAAAAATCAATCGAATTATGTTTCAATCCAATTGAAATCAGACTTTAATTTTTGTGATCATGACCAACCATGTTTCGAAAGTTCATAATTTAAGGGTACAAGAAATTTAATAGGAAAAAAAAAACATTTGCAAATAAAAGTTTCTATAAAACTGTACCAAATAATACTAAAAGGTGAATAAATATTATTAAAAAAATTAAAAAGAAGCTTGATAATCACATATTATGTCTTGGCAGAAATAGCACCACATTCTCAAATCACAACCCCCCCCCCCCCCCCATGCAATCCACCACTTTTTCATTTGTTTAGCTAATTAATAACAATATTATTATCTGGCAAAAATATAGGTGACAATGAGTTTCAAGCAACAGGTGGTTTGACAATGATGATGGTTATAAAAATATAATATTCCATAGCTTAGTTCCCTCCCCTATACATTAAATATTTTGTCCCTCGGTGAGCACATTGACCAACCATGTAAATGTTTTTATTATGGGAAAGGATCTGGTGTCGTTATTCAGGCAGAACCATTAGTAAACATTATTATGTTAGTATCCTGAATACCAAGTGTATTGTTAACGCTCAAGACTTTTCATCAAAAGTCATCTTCATGATACAAGAAGAAGATTGACCCCAGACAATGTTTCGAAAAGATTAATATTAATATGTTACTTACATGGACTGATAGTATTTATTAAATGTACATAAAACTATATGCATTAGTCTGGTAGGAAAGAAAAACAAACTTTATGCTAAAAGTTTGGCCAAATCTTTGCTAAGTTGTTTAGCAGCGAGTTATGGAATCTTGCATGGTTAAATTAATACAGACACATCTAGGTACCAAAGAGTTTTAAATTGCTCCTCTGGATTATAGTTTGACACCATTTTAACATCAACAATAATGTTATTGTACAGAGCAGGGTAACACGACTATTAAAAATAGAATAGTCACATATTAACCATGTTAGGCACTCCCAAACTAAAATGACTAGCTTTTGAGTACAATACTGAACACATGACTGCACATCAGTGATAACAGACTCCTATTTAGCCAAACATTCCAAAAAAGAGATGTAGAATTAGTGATTTTAGAAGGCAAAAATAAAATAAAATACAAAATGTTGACTCTCTCTCTCTATTTTAGGTGGTAAACACATGTTACCAATGTTTATAGGTATAAAACAAATAATTCTTATTTTATGGTAACCCTTAAACACACATACATGCACATTATCCAACGGTATTTCTAGTTGCTGGACTGACGATATCATTGTTGTGCCTAGCATATCTAGGTATCGGGACAACCAGATAAACAAATAGATAGTTTTATCATTGTTGCACCATGGACATATTTGATGATCATATTTAGCCCAAGGCTTCTGGGTCGGGACACTGAAAGAGGCAATGTGTCGCCATCACAAATATGTGGATTAACGTATTGCTTGCCAAGTACTTCAGAATGCGGCAACACAGATTTCAGTGGCTGCGGCAATAGCAGATGGTAAATTCAGAACAAAAAAATTATTGAGATCTATATTTTTAAGCATTAAACAAACAACTGATTCTAATACTTTAAATAAAAACACAAATTAGTGATATTTACCCTTTTCCTGGCATGATGCGTTGATTTAAAGCATTACCACATGGACGGTGTTTATTGCTTAGTTGTTGGCGACTAGAGCTCTTAACGTTCTCCCCTTCAGATAAAAGGCAATGATTACGAGGCAGTCAAGCACTCATGCCAAACTCTCAATAAATCACCTGACCACTGATCGTTGATGGTGTAGACGTCAAAATCCGAGTGACGTTGATCACCAAAATTGTTTATACAATAGCCTTGAGAGTAATTCAACTCCGCACAAATGCTGGACCCATTGTTCATTGTAAAAGAATCCGACTTTTGGGATTATTTGCTGACGGTTTTAGCTTTAATCCTCCTGGACTATAGGTAAATGACGCCAAGAACTCTTTCAAGGGAACTTTTACAGAGGACAATCGCTATTTACATTTTTTTTTTTTAACAGTGTTCACTAGCAACCTTCAAGGATAATAGCACAGTAACGATCAGAATGGGTACTTGGTGCTACTACACTCCAGAACTGACCCACAATAAATATTATACTTAAGCCTTTCAATACGGTAATTTGAGCAATGTTATTGCAGCGGTGAATGACGCTAAATGATTAACCGTTGATGGGTCAAAACAAAATTGCCATAGAAGGAGGAAATTATACAAATGATTGTAGCGGTTTGAGTAACGCTAAACGATTAATCGTTGATAAGTTGAAACAAAGTTTGGCATGAATGATACAAATAAACATTCTTGAACTTGGATGTACTGGTATATCAGAACAATTCATTTACACTAGATTTAACTCATTCATTCAAATATCATAAATCATTGGCTTATCCACATCAACATTTTTTTAAAAATGCCGATCAAAAATTATCATTTAATCTAAATCAAACTAATATTTTTGATTGATTCTTTAGCTCAGAAAAATATAAATAATTTAAAAATGTTCATCATTCAGTGACGAGCGTATGCACCATACAAGTATGCCTTAAATTCCTCTCCTAATCTTAACTGAGAGGGCGTAATCATGAGTAGTTGTGCAATAAGGCAGATACTCTGTGCCCTGTTAGATCTGTTGTGTTACCTGACATTTTTTGTATGTGCAAATTGTTGAAGGTTCATAAGTTTATTTTGCGCAGGCACCATATTCCATATTTGGGACTGTGTGATAGGGCTGTGTAACCATCTTCCTATCTTGTACTAACTGCATCAACGATCGATGATCAATTTTATATAGGTACTACACGTTCTCACAAAATTATATGTGCTAGAGGTCATACTCATTTTAAAGCAACTGAATTTGCCAAGCTACATAAAATTGTCCGGGACATGTAATTTTTGACTATTTTCAATAAATTCATATATAGGTAGATGAAGTGTTGTTTTTGCTGTTGTAAGTTGCAGAATTTGTTGTCAACAAATGAACCAATAGATCTTAGCCATAAATGGCCGCTGAAATCTCATCAAGCCATGGAAAATTTATTTTCTCCCATTTACCATGCCCACTCTCTTCCTATGTATAGTATTTGGAACAGTGGGAGTGATATTGGGGAAAAATGAAACTATTTGACGAAAAAAGCAAATTCTGTCACTCTCAATAATATCTTGGCAGCCATTTGCATGTAGTTGTAAATTTGTATAAAAGAATAAAAAAACATCAAATATCACATGACATATTCACACTTGCCAAGTTTGATACTACTGAAAAATAAGTTTTGACTTGAAAAACTAGTTTAGAGAGAAACAAGATTGTTTGTGCCACAAGAGGGCAGTCTACATCTGGAAATTGGAAGTTTATAAATTAGTATAATCAGAGGTAAAGAATGAAGCATAGGTGGTGGTGGGAGGAGGGGTAATTAAATTATGCTAATTAGTATTTTTTCTCATAATTTATGGCAGATTACACAGAAAAATCCACAGTTAGTTACAAACATAAGTTTTTAAAAACACTTTATTATTACAAAATTTGTGAAGCACATTCACTAATTTAAATCAAATTTTAGAATTCCTCCATAGTTGCATAAAAGTTGAAACTATCACTTGGGTCCAGGACCCCTCCCCAAATTTCCAATGTTGAATTATGTCACAACTACATTTAATAAAAGCACCGGTACGTGTATTTATTTATAAGACATAGTTAAAATATTTAGGGAAGTTCCACTGCTGTAAGAAAAAATGTTGTCTTTTGAATAAGTATATGTTACAGCTGCAACTATATGTTCCTAAACGTAATGAAAACAAATATGAAAAATAATTTTAAGTCATGCGTTCCTACCTTGTTTCATCCAAGTAAACTGATTCAAGCACAGAAGCAGCATACTCTAAATTTTTCTTCAAATCAGCGACTGATACATCTCCTTTTTCTGAATGTTTTATAAGGTAACGTAGCCTGGTTGCTGCTTTGTCCAGAGCCTCTGCAGTGTCTGTCTGAGGCAGGTAATCAGTTCTCAAGTCCAGTGCATTTTCATCAATATCTTGGTGGCTACGATGTCGAGTACGCGGGCCTGTAGAACCAAAGAGCTTCTTAGAGCTACTATTGGATCGCTTGAGAACTGTGAAAGATTCATCGGTCCCTTTGAAAATGAAAGCATGAAAAGAAATAACAAACTGGGGAGGAAAAAAAAGCACCAACACCCTTAAGCAGAGCTAAGTATAAAAACAAAGGCTGCAAAATGACAAACTCTAGAGGGCGCATTCCACCAGTATATCAGTAAATTAATACCGGTAAGTCATTCATAAGCAACGTAGCATTCAAAAAGCATCAAACTTTATACATTCCTGACATGCACAATCAAAGCTAGTCATTCAATCTTTATGACCACTAAGATATTTTAGTATTGGACTCATTTATGTACAAGACAGGAAGACAAAGATTTAAGCCAAGAGTGAAACGATTATGTCCGACTACTGTAGAGAGTCATCCAATTGATAGGTCAATCATATTGCATGCTGGGAAGTAGGAAAGTGCAAAAAAAATATTTCATGCAAAGCTGGAGTGTGAAAAGATCAAAAGCATTCTGCAATTAATTATGGCAAATGATAGAGTACCCCTGTTAAAAGCAAAGAAAGATAGTCTCAAAATGGATCCTGAATCTTACAGTTCTGTTGCAATTATACACTATACCTGTAGAAATCCAGAGAACAGTTTTTCATTTTAAAGAGCCAAGGTTTGAATAGCATAAAACAAATTTCACATGGCAATGGACATATCAAATACAATGTGCGTCCACTTAATTTATTAGTTGAGTACTTTGGGAGGGGGGGAGGGG